GTTCCCCAGTGCCTCCTCCGCCTCACTGCGCTCCGGGCGGGTCTTGGCTCGGTCGTCCCAGGCCAGCGCCTCACCCCCACGTCATCTCATGCCTCCTGTCCCCAAGTCGTTCTCCAGTCTCTCTGCTGCCCCCCCCCCTGTCTGTCGTGTCCGTCTTGGCCTTCCTGCCTCTTCTGCTTCCTGCCTGTCGCCTCCTCTGTACATGCGTTTTGCTTTGGCCCCCTCGTTCTATCCCTGTCTCTTTCTGAGCTCATATGTGTGGTGCCTGTATCTAGTCTGTGTCATCCTCAGCCCCTGTTTCCAGCTACAATGACATCGATTCATCCCCCTTTCTCTCTTTCTCCCTCCTTCTCTCTCTCTTTCTCTTTCTCTCTTTGTCTCGTCCTCTTTCTTTCACTCTCTCTCTCTCTCTTCCTCTCTCTCTGTCCCTTCTCCCTTTTTTGTTCTCTCTCTCCCCCCCTCTCTCTCTTTTTCTTTCTCTCTCTTTCTCTTTCTCTCTCTTTCTCTTTCTTTCATTCCCCAAGCAGTGCTCACACTGTTCTAAGGAATTGGGCCTGCTGGTCAGTCTGGCGGCTATGTGGTCGCCGTCGCCGCCCCGTCGCCGCCTCGTCGCCGCCCGTCTTCTGGCCCGTCGGTCTTGAGGTTATGTGGTCACCGTCGTCGCCCTGTCGCCGCCTAGATTCTTTTTTAAACAGAATTGCGATTTACCTCCCCCCCCCGACTTAACGGCGCACCCTGTCGTGTTGCAATTTACATATCATTCTGCCCCATCGTTCATCCTAAATATGAACTCGTACCATCCCAGGCAGGCCGGTATAGACCCCCCCCCTCATCCTCGGCCAAAAATGCTATCCGCGCACCCGTTCATCAAAACTCATCTGGTTTCAGGAATCCCTTGCAAACAAAAATAAAGACGAAGTGCACATTCGCTCGTCCTCGCGCGCGCATGCCGAGAGGCTTCAACAACCTTAAGTCTCGCAAGGCATTCAGAGTCGAGAGTCACGAAAACATGTACAAACACATGGTTTCGCAACAAGCGTTTTCCAAAAGGCCTGGCTTGGCTTGGCTTGGCTGAGCTTGGCTCCTGGTTTGGTTTGGTTTGAGCCCGGTTTCGCTTGAGACGTCCTCAGGACTTGCTTGGTTTGGCCTTGGTTTGGCTTGGTGTGAGCCTGGAAGCGTCTTCACAAGTTGCCTGGTGTGGCCTTGGTTTGGTTCTGGTTTGGGCCTGGTTCCGCTTGCTCGCAAATTTCCAGGCTTGGTCCTGGTTTGGCATGGTTTCGGCCCCGTTTCTCTTGGTACGTCCTCACAGCTTGCGGCAGTGATTCGAACTGGCATACGATACAAGAGGAATCATAGCAGTTCGCCCGGTCCCTGGCGTGGGCACGGCCCGATTACGACCTACACGTGCACATTGTCCTCTACCTCCCCCTCGTCCCCCTGCTCATCCTCCTCATCTTCCTCGTCCCCCATCCTCCTCCTCCTCGCCCTCCTCCTTCTCCTCCTCCTCCTCCGTGGTGGGTGTGTACAAGCCGAAGTAGTGGCACTGTGTGTGTTGAAGACCCATGGTGTTCCACACATAGAATGACAGCGCTACAAAATATCGTGCGGAATGGGTGTGGATTTGCTCAATACGCTCTGGATTGGCATGGGCGCGCGTGGCGGCATTCGGAGAAAATCTTTCGGAGCCTGTAGCCGGACGCTCTGCGCGCGAGCTTGCGCGCGCAAGCGCGGCCGCAGAAAGGCGCCAGCAAGGGTCAAACACTTGTCGCACTCGCCGCCGCATGGGTTTTGTAAGCCAGATGCGGGGTGTTGGGGCTGGGATGACTGCGCGAACAAGGGAGTTGAAAATTCCAAGCTCGTCAGAATTAGTTGCACCGCGTAAATTGTATCACGTAAATGTATATTTCAAGGGGGATTCGGACGCTTCCTTTTCCCCCCCGAGGCAGGGATTATCACCCCTCGGGGGATGGGCAATTCACATATGAGTTTGGCCCATCGTTCATTTTGCGCGCAGGTTCGTTTATCAAGACCCATCGATTCCCAAGAACCCTTTGCAAACAATCAAACGATGGGACGAAGTGCGCCATAAGAGTGTCAAACTCGAGTGTCCTGGGAACATGTAAAACACATGGTTATTCAACGTTGTTTTTCAAAGCAGGTCTGCGCGGGCGCCCTAGCGAATTGTTGAGACAAGCGTCGGTTTTGTCTTCAACAGCCTTATCAAATTCGACCAGTAAGCCTCTCGCACGCGGGTGTTAAAATCATTCGAACGCATTTGCGCGCGCGCTCGGGGGACACGATCCCTATCAAATGGCACCATGAGGGCCACTCGCGCCTGTCGGCCGCGCGCTCATGTCGAAGTCTTTTTTTCGCAACCTTCATCACCGACGCGTGGACACCATCATCGTCATCTGCGTGATCAGCATCGGCGCCGTCATTGGCCTTGCCATCATCGTCATGCTCGTCACGAGCATAACTGCAATCATCATTGCGCCTGCCGTCGTCGACGACGCCACGGAAGTTCCCATGCGTCAGCTCGGCTTGCGAGACACGTTGGGAAGTGCCCAGCGGTCAGCGCCACCGCTGCCGCGTTGGTCGCACCAGACTAGCTGGCCGTTGTGCGCGCGAGCCTGCACGCGCTAGCGCGGCCGCAGCGATGCGCCAGCCAGCGCCGCGCAGTCACCGAACTTGCCGCCGCATGGGTCTGACAAGCCAAGTTGAGGGTCGGTGGGTGGGATGTTAGCGAGAGAATTGGATTTGTCAGTTGCAAGTTCGGCAGGGTGAGCTGCACCACGTACATTGCACCACGTACATAGCGAAACATAGGTAGTTGGAAGCACACCGTTTGGGGCCCACGCTGGCTAACACACGCGCACACACACGAACACGCACACGCACACACACACGCGCACGCGCACACGCACACGCACACGCACACGCACACGCACGCACACACACATACACAGACACACAAACACACACACACACACGCACGCACGCACGCACGCACGCACGCGCACACACGCACACACGCACACACGCACACACGCACACACACACACACACACACGCGCACACGCCTACACACACACACGCACACACACGCACACACGCACACACGCACACACGCACACACGCACGCACGCACGACACGCACACACGCACACACGCACACACGCACACACGCACACACGCACACACGCACACACGCACACACGCACACACGCACACACGCACACACGCACACACACACACACACACGCACACACACGCACACACGCACGCGCACGCGCACGCGCACGCTCACGCGCACACGCACACGCACACGCACACGCACACGCACACGGGCACACGCACACACGCACGCACGCACGCAGGCGCGCACGCACGCGCGCGCCCGCCCGCACGCACGCACGCATTCGCACTCGCACTCGCACTCGCACTCGCACTTGCACACACACACACACACACCCACACACACACCCACCCACCCACGCACGCACGCACGCACGCACGCACAGACACACACGCATGCACGCACGCACGCACGCACACACACACACACACACGCACACACACACGCACACACACACACACGCACACACACACGCACACACACACACACACGCACACACACACACACACGCGCACCCACGCACACACACGCACACCCACGCACACCCACGCACACACGCGCACACGCACACACGCACACGCACACACGCACACACGCACACACGCACATACGCACACACGCACACACCACACGCACACGAACATGCACACACGCACACGCACACGCACATACGCACACGCACACGCACAAGCACACATCTCTCTCTCGTCGTCTCTCTTTCTCTATCTTTTTTGTTTCTTTCTCTCTCTCTCACACTCTCTTTCTCTTGGTGTATGTATGTATACACGTAGATCTGTAAATATGTGTATATATATGTGTGTGTGTGTGTGGACAACCCCCCAGCAGACGGTGGTGCCCCTTCTTTCCTCCTCTTCCTCCTCTTCCTCCTTTCCCGTTTTTTGTTCTATATGTCATTTCCTCTCTATCCCCCTCTTTTCCCAATATATATATATATATGTATACATACATATATATCGATATCTTGTTTGTTGTTTGTTTCTCTCCCTCTTTCTCTCTCTCTCTCGCTCTCTCTCTCTCTCTCTCTCTCTTTCTCTCTTTCTTTGTTCACTCTCTCTATCTCTCTGTTTCCCCCTTTCACTTCTCTCGCTGGTCGCCTTCCCCAGGCGTGGGCTCCGATCACGTAACGCAAAGTTTGCGATGCCAGGGGTGCGGAACCCTGTTGTTACAGTTGGAATTTCGGGATTCCTGGGATGATCAATGAGGAAACAATGTGTTCAATCTGATTTTTCCGTATCGATTTTTTATTCTCCGCATTCCAGCAACAATCCCGCCGAGTAGCTCTCTCAGGTACTCCGATCCGCTCAGCCCCAACAGCCCAAATTCAAACGCAAGATTTGTAATGCCAGGTGTGCGGGAGCCCTGTGTTGTCGTTCAGATCATTGGTATTTCTGGAGCGAGAAGTGAGGCAACCATGTGTTTCCAGGTTGCTATTTTGTATTTCCGGGGCGACAGAATCGATGTTTTCGAAGGTTTGTTTCAGGCTTTCCATGTTCTGGCTTTCTCATGCTACCGATGGGCCCAGACAGCCCACGAGGCCCCAGAAATCGGCCCAAGACGGTCCAAGCGGCTCCCAAAGAAGGCTCCAGGACGGCCCAAGAGAGCCCCAAGACTGCCCAAGGACGCTCCAGGACGGCCCCGAGAAGGCCCAGAAGGTCCCAAATGGCTTCGAGAGAGCTCCAAGAGGGTCCCAAGAGCCTTCTAAGTGGCCCCAACAAGGCCCCAAGACAGCCAAAGCCTTCCAAGACGTCCCAAATGAGTCCCAGGACGGCCCAAGGGGGCGTGAAGTGGCCCAGAAAGGCCCCAAGAGGACACCCAAGAAGGCCCGGCGACGCTAAATGCATAG